GCCTGTGACAGCTCCTGCTGCGCCCCCAGCTGCGCCCCCAGCTGCTGCCTGATGTGCACCCCAGCCAGCTGCGGGTCCGGCCCCTGCCAGCCGGCCTGTGGCTGCTCCCCCTGCCAGCAGGCCTGCTGCATGCCCATGTGCTGCAAGCCTGCCTGCTGCACACCCGTCTGCTGCAAGCCCGTCAGCTGCACACCTGCCTGCTGCACACCTGCCTGCTGCAAGCCCATGTGCTGCACACCTGTCTGCTGCAAGCCTGTCAGCTGCACACCTGTCTGCTGCAAGCCCGTGTGCTGCACACCTGTCTGCTGCAAGCCTGTCAGCTGCACACCTGTCTGCTGCAAGCCCGTGTGCTGCACACCTGTCTGCTGCAAGCCCGTCAGCTGCACACCTGCCTGCTGCAAGCCCGTGTGCTGCACACCCGTCTGCTGCTCGGCCTCCCCCTGCCCCTGCCCCCCGCCCTGCGCCAAGCCCTCCTCCTGCGTGTCCCTCATCTGCCGCCCCGTGTGCAGACCCGCCTGCTGCGCCCCCTCCTGCCAGCCCAGCTGCGGCCGCGGGGCGTCCTCCGTGTCCCTGCTCTGCCGGCCCGCCTGCCCGCGCCCCGCCTGCTGCTGACCTGTGCCCAGAAGCCCTGCTGCTGGGGGATCTTCCTAAGGGCTCATGCCACCTGCACCCCATGGATTCTGTACCAAGAGCCAAGACGGAGGTCAAGGCCCCACAGAGCCCACACTGTGCTGTCTGCAGTCCCCAGGACACCCACACTGCTGCCCCGGGAACAGCTCGCTTCTCCTCCAGCACTGACCCCCAATCAATGCGCCCTGCCCCCCATCACTGGGACTGGCAGTGACCCCAGTGGGCCACCTGGTCTCCCCAGGACCTTGGACCTGGGGAGGAAGAGCGAAACCTCTGGTTTCCCGTCCCGGCCTGGGTGCCGCGTGCCCGCCCGCACCTGCGCTGTCTGCACCTGCTGCCTTGCGCCCGCTGTCACCTGCTCTAATAAACTGTCATCCTGGCCAAGTACCTGGACCCTGCTTTCACTGCAACTGAGGCCCCGCCTGGCCCGGCCCCGGGAGGGCGTCGTCCAGAGCCATGCCCCAAGAGCCCCTGCCAGTCTAGGCACATGGGTGCGGGCGGGTGGACCCAGCTCCAAGGGCATCACCCTGGGGAGGTGCCCACCTGGGCTGTGACCCCTGGGGAAGGACCCCACTGGACTGGCATCACCCCCTTTGCTGAGGACGAACCCCTCTGCAGGAATTGGGGGACTTGGCGGGCCCCTGGCCTTTGGAGGGGGTGGACCCTGGCACCCCACGGGGCCCACGCACGGCCGCTGGTGTCCCCGGTCATCCCCGAGCCCGGGGCCAGGTGCCAGAGCGGCCACTCCGCAGCCACGGAGGCCACGGCCTGCAGGCCTGTTGGTCTCCACGGGGCCCTCGTAGGTGCGTCTGGGGTCAGCGCGTCCTGCTGGGAACCAAGAAGCCCGGAAGCTGCATCCGATGTCCCTGGCCGCCCCTGGCCAGGCTCCTGCCGTGCCCTGTCTGTGGCCCCAGGGGTTCCCCTCTGGCTCAGCAGGGCTGGGTGATCCCGGCCCCCAAGTCCACCCGTCCTGAACCCTGCGACTCTGACGCGGGAGGCCACAGGGCTGCGGGCCGGAGCGTCGGGTCCAGGCTCTGGGCTGCCAGCTCCGAGGCCGCTGTGCGCCCGCCCAGCC